CAGGTTCCATGTGATAAGGGTGGGAGGGTGACTTGGCCAAAAAGGTTGGGAGTCTTCTCCTTTGGACTTGGTACGGGTCGCATGGTTGAAACCTGTTCGATCCCCGTAGATGTTGGGTCAGTTGGTAGTGGGCAGATATATTTAAGGAGTTCCAATGCTCTCAGACGCTTTTGTTCTCATAGCGATTGTCCTTCAATCCCCCATTGGATTGTAATTTGGTGCTGCTTGATCCGAACCGGTTCACATCTTTGCTTTTGCCCAATGAACATGGACTTGAATTTGAATGCCGGTTGAGCCGCAATCAACACCCCTATGTTTGAAGTATACACGTGGGACTCCCCAAATTCAACCATGAGCACCGTTTGCCACTTCTTGCTAACGCCCTCTCTTGTGGTCCTTTACTTGAGATCGGGGATTCATTCTAAATCGCCCAGATGTCATATGATATATGTGTCTTTTGTGACCCTAAGCCCTAAGCCCATGAGGTCCCTTGGAAGTCGAATTGTCCAAAACCCGGAAAGTGTTTAGTCCCAGGAAGTGCTGCTGATCCTCAGGTCGCAAATCGGCTTAGCAAGTGTGCGTCATATTACGAGCTCACTTGGGGGTAAACTGAGCTCACCCCTGATAAAGGTTCTTTGGTTTGTTGAATGTTCGGCCAAGTTAGGTGCTTAGGCACTTGAGTTATAGCCTACCAGGGTGAACCTCACTTGAGGGGAGCTTCTAGGTGGGTTAGAGCTTGGGTTACCAGCGACTTACTCGCTTGGCTTACCAGTTGGCTTGCGATCCCAGAAGTTTGGGGGAAGGGCTGCAGTGCTCCGAACCGGGCGAGGAAAACCGTAGGTTATTTGGAAGAGTTTCCCCTCCAAAGGGTACCCTCAAAGATTGAAAATCCGTGTGGAAGAGCCTTAGATTCCGAGGTGTTAGCATAGATTTATCCCGAACCTCCATTACAAAGTCAGGTTTGATTGACCAATCCTTCACAGTCGCAAATCCGGAAGTGGACCGATTTGACGGATTGGCTCAAAATCGATTTGACGGATTGGCAAATCCGGAAGTGGACAAAATGGATGGCGATTTGACGGATCGCGATTTGCAAGCCAGGCTTGGAGACATCCCTTGGTGCGAGTTGATTGCTGATTCCTGGAAGTGTGCCGGGCGGTTGCATCCGCCAGGATCTTCTTGTCTCTCCCTTTGTGGGTGGCATAGACATCAATAAGTATGCCACTGTTTATTGAGTTTGGCTCTGGGGCGATGTCCAAAGGAGACGTGTCAAGAATCCTCTCCTATCCCCACCACGTGTCTATCATTCCTGAAATCTCCACAAAGAGAATCTTCCCAAGTCCTCCCTCCATTTCAGGAAGGCAATGGTTCAACAGAGATAGATCATGTTCAGAGTTTGTGCAGGCCTTTTACAAAGGGGCATGGATAGTTGAACCCCCCACTGGATGGTAGGCCAAGCTCGTAAGCGGCTAGCCACTTGGGTTACTTACATTTCAGTTATAACCCACCACTAGGGTGGGCCGAAAAAGTTGGTAGGTTCACTTACCCACTTGACAACGAACACCCAAGTCGAAAAGGGGAAAACATGGTGTTGTTTGTTATATATATATATATACACATACATAGTGTATACACATATACATATGTAATATATATATATATATATATTATCCAATCCCAGGCAGCATGTTTTCTAGCCCCATTTGACATACAGAAGACCTCGGGTTCGGCTCTCCGAATGCCTCCAGGACCCGGCCAAGCACCTTCGCCCGACAGCTCCTATCAGGTGAGATCGAGATGGGGGGAATTCATGGCGTGCTGTGGCCACAAAGAAATCCAGGTCACTAGAAACTGGTTGACATACTGATGGCCGAAATCCTACACCAAAGAACCCTGGAATGATGATTCTCCTGCAAATACCAGCAAACTATGGTTTCCCATGGATTCAAAGTGGTGCAGGATTTTGTCCATCCACAGTAGGTGTTCTTGTTGTTTGGTTTGGTTGAATCCATCTATTTTCCAAAAGGATACCTATGATGGTTGAGCTTCAGCCCTTTTTTTTCGGACTTACATCACGCAAAGAGATGTCCTGTTTTGACATCTGTTCAGTCACCCGGGTGTGGTCACACTTGGGGGAGCCCGGAAAACAAGACAAACTTCCAAAGGGTTGTGTGTGTCAAAACAGGAAGACCCCGAAGATTTCCCTTTAACCCCCCCCCCAAAAAAAATAATAATAAGAGCTCGGGCGATATCCCCAACAGCACCACACCCTCCCAGAATCCTCGCGGAACGCCCCGGGACCATCCTTACCGCCGGTGTTGCTGAGGATGCCGCCTTGTAAAGCAAAGCTACGAGTGACAGCGCAATCTCGCCCTGATCGGGGCCCGATCGGGGCCTGACGGTGCAATCGGGCCCCGATCGTCCCGTGGTGCAACCCCAGCCACCCATATTATAGCTCAACGCCGGTTTTCCTTAGTATGCGGATTGCAACTGTGTCTATAGCAAAACTAGGCGATGCCAGCTTGGTACAATTGACGAGGCCCGACTGAGTCGGGCCCCGATCGGGGCGCGATGGCGCAATCGGGGCCGATCGGGCCCAAACGGCGCAATCGGGCGGGCCCCGACAGTGCAATCGGGCCCAACCTAGGCCCGGTGAACCTCGCAAACCGTTCTCACGCAACTTTCGTGGAGCTCAGCGTGAAACTTTGCTGGAACCTTTCCTCAGGGCTGCCCCATAGCTTTTGCAGAATTTGGTGGAAACCTTCTGACCTCATAGCCCTCGCAGCCTCGTGCAATTCTTGGAACCCAAAGCCCACCAACCAAGCAGCAATGCCAAGCATTTACTCTGCTGCACCGTGAGTTCCGCAGCGACGTGATCTGATTTGCCACAAAGCCAACATTTGCCTGAGCAAGTGAGAGCAAGTCACAAAACAGTGAAAGTGTGCTAAAAACCATTGATTTCGGTTTTGCTTAGTGTTCCGCCCATGAGCAAAGCGATCTTGATCCGATGGCTTTTCAGACGACGGGCGCACGACGCACCCTTGGTGGAGCATTGTGGAGCCTTGTGGAACTCGTGTGGAATCCTTGCAGAGCTTTGTGGAACCCTGTGAAACCTCAGGGCCCACAGCCCTCGCAGAATCTTGTGGAACCCTGAAACCCTCATACAACCTTACCTCAAACCACCCCGGACCACCCCGCAGCCCTCGCAGAACCTCGTGGGACCCTGCTAGTGCTGGAATGGAACCTCACCTTGCAAAACCTGGTGGAATTCTGGTGGAATTCTCATGGAACATTACCTCAAACCAGCCCGGACCGCTGGTGGAACCCTGGTGAAACCCTGATGGAACCCTCGTGGAACCTCCCCAGCCCTCGAAGAAATTGCTGGAACCCTGGTGGAACCCTCGTGGAACCTTACCTCAAACCACCCCGGACCACCCTGCTTTGGAACCCTCGTGGAACCTTACCTCAAACCACCCACCCAGACCACCCTGCAGCCTGGAACCCTGGTGGAACCCTGGCGGAACCCTCGTGAAACCTTCCTCAAACCCGCAGCCCTCGAAGAAATTGGTGGAACCCTGGTGGAACCCTCGTGGAACCTTACCTCAAACCAATCCAGACCACCCCGCCCTTGCAGAACCTGGTGGAACCCTGGTGGAACCCTGGTGGAACCCTGGTGGAGTCTGGTGGAACCCTGGTGGAACCCTGGTGGAACCCCTGGTGGAACCCTGGTGGAACCTTAGCTCAGGGTCGCCCCGAACCACCCCGGAGCCTATCTGGGCTGAGACCCCAAAGCTTTCAGCTGTTCGGGAAAAAACAAAAATAAAGAGGCGACCATGAACCACATGAATCCCTTGAGAAGGGGGGACCTCTTCCCCTCCCCTTTTCGGAGGTTCGGGTTCTCCGAAAACCCACCCAGACCTGAAAGCGACGCACCCGGTGCGTGGATCCGATCCAAGCAGGAGGTAAGGGGCGTATGGCCAAGCTGGTAAGTTCAGTTGGCATAGAGTCCTACTATGGATGAGGGAAGTCCTGCACCACCTAAGAAACCCTGGAAGGATGATTCCCCCCACAAATACCAACAAGCAATGGTGTCCCATGGTTTCAAAGTGGTGCAGGATTTCGTCCATCCACAGTAGAGTCTCCTTTTGACCCGAATCAATCATGGGCCACCCCGCTTTACTTTGGTCACCCCGTTTCAATTTGGGTGACCCCAGTTTCTAATCATGGAGACCCCAGGTACGTTTTTTTTACCCTGCTTGATTATAGATTATGAGTCTCTCTGCACCCAGGAGGCGAAACAGGTTCCTCAACTAGTTTCACCCCTTTTTTTGGACCTCCAAAGGTGGCTTGAGTTTGTTGGAACCCACCGGCAAAAATCCAAAAGAAATGTCCCCGTCCAAGTAGAGCCTCGATAAACCCTGTTCGTTTTCGCTCCACAGGGAAACTATGCAAATGGAAGCACGGGTCCTAGTGTTGAGATTTTGGGTTTCGCATGTGTCGGAAGAACCGGGGGATTTTGGAGACGTCACGCAGCCCCAAGTTCCACGACGGAAAAGGTAACTCTATTTGGGTGTTTTCTTGTTTTTTTCCTCGAGGATAGCACATGTTGGTGGGTTTAAAGGGATTCCATTTTGGAAACCCACTTTTTTCGGGGGTTCCGTTCAAAGACACATCTGCCCTTCAATGGTTCGTATGACGGAAGCTTTTTGCAACTCAACTTTTCCTCTGAGTCGCGTTCCACCTTTGGTTCCGCATGCGTCAGGCCCGAAAACTGGTGCTCGGTAGGGAATGAGGGTATGAACCTGGGGGTCCCCTTAAAGGAAACCACAAGAGAGGGTTCGAGGGAATGAGGGAATGACCAGGCTTTGTTCCCCTTAAAGGAAACCGCCAGTTGAACCTGGGTCCCCTTACAGGAAACCTCCAGTTGGATGGTTTATCTCGGGGTCAGACGCCATTTCTCATGCCCTGCATCTATCGAATCCACCGATCGCAGGGCTGGGCGGATCCGTTGGCCTGGCATCCCTGCGCCCGGGCTCGGTGGTGGCATCGCTCGCGCCAGGCGACGCTCGCGACGAGCGTCGCCGGTCGCTGGTGGGTTTCTCGAGACGAAGATGGGGATGGGCTCATGGCGAATGGATGCTGGAACCGACCCTTTGACCTTTGGGTTTTTCCTTTTTGGTCCACTTTTAGTAAAGGTCCCAAAAGGTGTGATCACCATTTTTTTTTTGGGGGGGTCCTTTGGGCAAGTGAGAAACTGGATGACTCATGATGCTTGACTGCGACATGGACCCATTTGTAGAGGTAGGCAGCCTTTGGGTTCCCTCCAAGGCAATATGAAGCACCTCATACGTGACGACCCAGAAGCCAACTGGTTGGCACAGCTCTTGGGGTCTAAGGTCACTTGCTTCCGGGTGAAATGATTTTTTGTCTTTTTCCGGGGCTTTTAAGGGAAACGATTTCACTGGACATAGTTTCTATTTGTTTTTTCCAGAGGAGTACGCACATGGAATGATATGAGAAGTTGATGAGTGGTCCTTGGGATTTGGGTTGCAACTTAGACTCGGCTTAACCCTGAAGGGATGGTAGGGGTCGGTCCTTGAAGGGAACCTGGGGATGGATGTGGGGCCCGGCTTTTTTTTGACATTTTGGTCCTCAAGGAGCTGTTGGTTTCGGCTTTGGATTCTTTTCGGGGTCAAAGGAAACCAGAAAGGATGGTCCGTTAGTTAGGTGAGGCCATGCGCAACTTTTTTCGAACTCAAAAGTCTAGGGTCCACCCTAGGGTTTTTTGCATTTTTTGAATAAGCGCCCCAAAACAACCATTTTAAAACATATTTTGAAACAGTCTAAACACATTTTGATAAATATTGTTTTATTACAGCATACCAAAACAAACATTGAATTATTTTTTGAAAAACTCAATACACCTAAACATTTTCATTTTCAAAAACACATATTTTCCAAAATATTTTAGAAAATATATTTTTTTCAAAAGAGATAAATATATATATATATATAGCATTTTAAGAATAATTATTCAATAAGAAACAACATTTTCAATAAATCAAAGAGGAGACTTAATAATTAATCATTTTTCAAAATTTGGATATTCCGAAGTTGCGCGTGGTGTCCCTTGTAGGATTTTATCTTCAATATATAAAACGCTATACTTACATTATAATTATAACATATAAGGGTATAAATGTTATAATCATAGTATGGTTTTAGTCAAAATCATGCCCCGATTTTATCAAAATAATGCCCCGATTTTATCAAAATAATGCCCCGATTTTATCAAAATCATTCCCCGATTTTATCAAAATCATTCCCCGATTTTATCAAAATCATTCCCCGATTTTATCAAAATAGGTGGTGGTTTGGTTCATTGCAATTGCATGTGCTCAAGTTGCAAGCCCAACCCCAAACCTAAATCCTTAATCCGTCAAACTCACTAAGATTTCACAAATTAATTCGCTAGGTATTTTATATAAATCTTCCTGCTTATGTATTGTTGGATTGTCACCCCATTTTTCCTTAGTGCCTGATGGTAGCCGTTGTGCAGTTTCAATATGTTTATTATTTCTGATGTTGCCACAATCCTTTTTACATAATTCTCTAGGTTTCCAAGTTGTAATGTTATTCCAAAGCCTAGTTCTCTTTCTGTAAGGCATTCCATATTTACAATAATCTACATCTTTAAAATCAAACTCATCCATAAACTCTTGATGTTTTAATAATCCAGTTTGTGGATTTTCGATTACAAAATATTTAGGATTAAAATATTTGTTAATCTCAATAGTTTTTAAGACAATACTATTTGCATATTCGATATTCCTAATTCCCCTAGTTTTTGCTACACTATATTCAGTGCACGGAGGACTACTCCAAATAAAATCAAAATGGTTTCTGTCAAACTGTTTATAATCCCATTTCAAAATATCGATATTTATATCAGCGTTTTTCAAGTCTAATGATATCACATTAAAACCTAAATCACGAGCAACTTTACCAACAGAACCACTGCCTGAAAATAATTCTAATAAATTCATTTATTAGAATTATTTAGATATTAATTATTCAAATAATACATATACTCCATCATCATTTTTTGAAATTTTATAATAGTCTAATGTTTGTTGCTTTGGTTGTTTGATTTTTCCTGTATTCAACATATCACAGTATTTCTTTTGCTTTGTAGGGTAGTCGCCCGATGGTCTTCCTATAGATTTTGCTTGAAATATTTTGTCAATCTTCTCCTTCTCTTCGTTGCTTTGTTGCTCGCGTTCAACTGGTTTCATTTTGTCATCAATGGATTTAATCATATCATTTAAGGTTTTAATATTTTTACCAATTAATGTTATCTTCTTCATTAAATCATTAATAGTATAATTCTCATTTTCAGACATTACTATATATTTATTTAGATAATTATTTATTTAATTATATATTTATAAAGTGCAATTATGTTAAATCTACTCTTTAAATACTAATTTTTCATGATTTGTTTAATAGTGTCCTGCGTTTCGTTATCACCATTTTCCGAGAGTATAGCATCCCTACCCCATTTGAATGTAATATTATGAACATCTGTTTCTAAGTTGATACTGTCTTTAGTTTTATCAATATTTATCTTCTTATCATGTTTACTTATTTTGAAACTTGTTGGAATACATGAACATTTACATTTTTTATTATTTTTTATTTCTAATTCATTTTTCATCTCTAACACCCTTTTACACATCGGACAAGAAAACTCAATTACTGCTATTTCTTTAACAATTTCTTCTTTTTCTTCATCAGTTGAAGAAACTGTAGTATCTGTTTTATTCTTTCTGTTTTTCTTTTTTCCCATTCAAATTAATATTTATATTTTTAATATATTGTATCCAAAACTTAATTAATTCTAAAATAAAATAACATTTTTTTTTACATCTATTATCAGTTATTAGTACTTGTTCTATATTCTCCATTTCATCTATTATATTAATATAATCTGTATAACTCCTTTTCATATTAAATAATAAGATAAATTATTTTGTCATTTCTGTCTTTCTTTTCTTGTAAAGTTTTTTCATTGTATCGTCTTTATTCCATCTATATTCCACAAATTTCTGATGATGTTTTGAATTTAGATGTTTAAATAAATATTTGTCATCATAAGTTTTACCACAACTGCAATGGATAATAGTCATATAAATAATAAGATAAAATATTTATTTAATCTTATTATTTTCATGCATGATAGAATATTCGGAGGGCACAGCACTGGGGTTTTCTTTACAATGCATCAAACTAATTAGCTTCAATGCTCATTGATTGAAGCAATGGACGCATCGGCGATGCCTCGCGAAGCTTCGCGACATCCCGTTCCATTTAATATTAAATAGAATATGTATTCAAACTATTTTCTTTAGTAAGTCTTATTGCAGTTGATAGACTAACATCTTTAATATTAATATCAATAACTTCTTCTACACTATTTATCATTTCATTTGTATACATATCGGGATAATCTTTCATAAAATTTACTAACTTTCTAAAATTAAAATCTAGGTTATTGTCATTTTCAATTGAGGACTTGGATACTACGATATTTTGTTTTTTAATTGCCGATAAAAAGTATAACATCGTATCATAATATATTTGTTCAGTGTCGGGCACTAAGATATCACCAAATTTATATATCCTCCGAATACTAGCCACTTCACTTAAATTAATAGATTCTATAGCCATTATGATATAATTATATTATATTTTTTTATTTTATAAGTATTTATAATATTATTTTCATTATGCCTGATGTAAAACCAATTGATGAAATCAAATACGACTTTAAGCAAAGTAAGCATGAGGTTGTCCCTAAATTGCCTATGAGAGCTATGATTGTCGGACCATCTGGAAGTGGAAAATCAACTTTACTTGTATCAATGATACTTGATATTTATAGAGGAGCATTTGAAAGAATTTTTATCTGGTCTCCATCTGTAAATTTGGATAGCATTTGGTTGCCTGTTAAAAAATACATTAAAGAAGGTTTGAAAGTAGATAATGATAAAGAACCGTGTTGGTGGGATGAGTTCAATGTTGAAGATTTAGAAAGAGTTATAGAAACTCAAAATAAAATAATTGAATACCAGAAAAAACAAGGAACGAAGAAATTATTTAATATTTTGGTAATTTTGGATGATGTATCTGATAATCCAGCAATAACAAGAAATAACAAATTGTTAAACTCTTTATTTTGTAGAGGTCGTCATAGTGGAATATCAACACTTGTAAGTCTTCAAAAATCATCAACAGTACCACCAATTATTAGGGTAAATATAAGTCATTTGTTTTATTATAAAGTTAGAAACTTCAAAGAGATAGAAATATTACAAGATGAATTATCAGCAATTGTTAGAAGTGATAATTTACTAGAAAGCAAGAAACTAATTTATAAAATATATGAGACTGCCACTGATGAACCGCATAGTTTTTTATATATTAACCTTTTAGAAAAGAACCCAGATAAAATGTTTATGAAAAAGTTTTCTCAATATTTGAAAATTACTAATTAAATAATTAAATAATTAAATAATTAAATATATTATATTATATTATATGATATTTTATGATTTACCAATAGAAATTAAAAACCTTGTATTATCTTATAATTTAGGTGATGTTAGATTATTAAAAATAAAAAATAGTAATATTGTTAAAAAATATATTAATAAATATAAACCAGTTTATAAGTCTTACACATTAAATAACATACATTATTTTGAAATTGATAATATCAATATTAATAATGGAATATCATATATTTTTAATTTAAGTGAGTTAGATAAAATACATCAAACAAATAAACCATTAAAATTATTTATTGAATACAAGCTACTTGCTACATTTGCTTCATATAAATGTATAAAGCATGTTTGCGATCGCGCTTTAACATCAAATAATTTATTTGATTTTTTATTATTTTCTTAATAAAGATTTTCATGAAATTAAATTAATCTATAATAGCGATAATAGCTATAATACGATTAATGCTATTTCAGAACAAGTGAAAAAAAT